ACATTATGTTCATTATATGCTTTTATAATCTCTGCAGAATATCCATTCAAGGCAACTATTGCAATTCCATTTGATTAATGCAAGCCATTTCCTCTGAACCTTATATTAATAGCTATGGAATGATCATAATATACGTTCTGCAGAATAAAGCCCTTAAGAAATTGGGAAGGGGGTAACTCAACATATGTATTACAATCAAAGGCATGCCTCCATTACTATGTGTATTTTATTTAGATAACTTTTAAAGTTATGATGCTACATATTCATAAGCAATTTTCTTGACCTATATAAAAGTCTTAGGAGACAGGTTGCTGCTGTGTGTCTCCAAGTCATTTTTGGCTTATAGTGACCCTAAGGAGAATGTATGGCGTTTTCTTAGCAGATTATGTTTGGGGGGGGGGGGGTTACCTCTGACTCCCTCTGTGGCTGAAGGAGTGTGGCATGTCCATGCTCACCCAATGACAATAATGAAGTGGGGATTCAAACCCTACTATCCAGAGTCATATTCCAATGCTCAAATAATGCCATGCTGGCTCCACTTCAGATGCATGCCAAAACCTGATTTTGTGTGGCTAATTCTTCGTAATAACTAAATCAAATAATGAAAAGGGAAACACATCAGATAAAACTGTTTGACAAGTATTATTCTCCATGATCAATCCAGAAAACTAGTTCACTTGACACAAGCACTACGTTAGAACAGAAAGGAAATTAAGTAAGATTGCTCGTGGGATCACTAATCAGCCAAAAATGTAGCAGCACATTTTAAATCCCAACTAAAATGGTTAACCAGGATTTAATTGCCCTGTACATTTAAAACTGTGAACCCAGTGGTCTATGCTCCTGTTAGAGCAAATCTCATTGAATGCAGTGGGGCTTACTGCCAACTAACATGGGGTGCATGATTAAGCTTAGACCATAGATATCAAGGCTTTCCAAAAGATCTTGAGTCATAGAAAACAGTACGATGTAATGATCAGTGGCAGTCTAGGAGACTGGAGACTCAGCTTCAAGTCCCCCTTCAACCACAAATATCACCCTGCACCATTCACTCTCTCCTCGTAAGGCATATCTATCCACACTGCAAACTTCCAGCACTCTATAATTTTAATTGCCACTGCTCCATCCTCTGGAAATGCTTGGATTTGTGATTTGTTGAGTGATAGCTAAGACTTCTGCCTGAATTATGTGCTAGAGCTCTCTAGCAGAGCAGTAAGACACACTAGAGAAAAAAATCCACTTAAAATCCGGTTTCTGCCTCCTGCAGAATTCTAGGTTTTGTAGTTTAGTGAGGCTGTTAAAGACTCCTCTCTAAACTACAAACCCCAGAATTCTACAGGAGGCAGAAACTGGATTTTAAGTGGATTTTTTCTCTAATGTGATAAGTTTGGCTTTAGGCCGGGACATGGAATTGAAACAGCCTTGGTCGCCTTAGTGGATGATCTGCGTAGGGAACTGGATAGGGGGAGTATGTCCCAGTTGCAGGGGCGGCTCAACCCATTACGCAAAGTAAGCATTTGCAGTATAGTTGATTTTGCCCAGGGGCGCTCTTGAGGCGCTCTTGGGGGAAAATGGACCTTGACATATGCGAGTTGTAGTTACTGGGATGTATAGTTCACCTACAATCAAAGAGCATTCTGAACTCCACCAATGATGGAATTGAACCAAATATGGCACACAGAACTCCCACGACGAACAGAAAATATATATCAGTGATTGGTTGGGGGGGGGGCACCAAAATACTGTTTGCTTACCATTGAAAATTACCTAGGGCCGCCTCTGCCCAGTTAGTTCTCTTGGACCTCTCAGTGGCCTTCAATACCATAGACTACAGTATCCTTCTGGGATGGCTCACAGGAATGGGTCTGAGGGCACTATTTTACAGTGGCTGCAGTCCTTCCTGGAGGGTTGCTCCCAGAAGGTGTTGTTGGGGAACACCTGCCATTGTGCTATGGAGTCTCACAGAGTTCAATACTGTCCCATTCCCCCTCCCCCCCATGTTGTTTAACATCTAAATGAAGCCTCTAGGGGAGATCATCTGGAGTTTTGGAGTTGGATGTCACCTGTACACAGATGACATTCAACTCTATCACTCATTTCCAACTGCAACTAAGGAGACTGTTCCGGTCCTGAACTGGTGTTTGGAAGCTATGACCGTTTGGATGAGAGTGAACAGATTGAAATTGAATCCAGACAAAACAGAGGTACTCCTGGTCAGTTGAAAGGCTGAACAGGGTATAGAATTGCAGCCTGTGTTGGATAGGATTACACTCCCCCAAAGACCTAGGTTCTTAGCTTGGGAGTGTTCCTGGACTCATTGCTGAGCTTGGAAACCCCAGGTTTTGGTAGTGGCTGGGTAAGCTTTTGCACAATTAAAATTTGTGTGCCAGTTGTACCCATACAACTTGTACCCATGGGAAGGCGGACTAGGCCACAGTGGTCCACACTCTGGTTACATCCCAAATAGATTACTGCAATGTGATCTGAAGACTTTTCGGAAGCTTCAGCTGGTCCAATGGGCAGTGGCCAGGCTAGTCACCAGAGCAGCATTCAGAGATAGGACATCCCTCCTGTTACATCAGCTCTACTGGCTGCCAATCTGCTATCGAGCACAATTCAAAGTGCTGGCTTTAGCCTATAAAGCACTGTATAGTTTTGGCCCAGTTTACCTGTCAGAATGTATCTTCCCAAATGAACCACCTCGGGCCTTGCTCTCGATCCCACCTTCTTCGCAAGCACGGCTGGTGAAGATGAAGGAGAGGGCCTTCTCAGTGCTGGCCCCTCGACTGTGGCACTCACTCCCTAGTGACATTAGACAAGCCCACTCCCTCCTGACCTTCAGAAGGAAAGTAAAAATGTGGCTTTGGGATCAAACCTTCAGATAATACTTCCTGAACATTAGGAAAAAACTTTCTGGCCATGAGAGCTGTTCAGCAATGTGGTGGAGGCTCATTCTATGGAGGCCTTTAAACAGAGGCTGGATGGCCATCTCTTGTGGGTGTTTTGAACATGATTGTCCTGCTTCTTGGCAGGGGGTTTGACTGGATGGCCCACGAGGTCTCTTCCAACTCTATGATTCTATGATTCTAGTGCAATAACAGATATACGAGCAATGAATTCTGGAATGGCCCTGGATTATGATTGTGGATGGCATAATTTTATTCAAAATTGTAATGTTTTGAAATGTTTAATATGCATTAATTTTAATTATTAATTTAAATTTTTATTTCAGTTGTACAGTAGAGTTTCGCTTATCCAACAGAACCTTGGATAAGCAAAAATGTTGGATAATAAGGAGGGATTAAGAAAAAGCCTATTAAATGTCACATTACTTTATGATTTTACAAATTAAGCAGCAAAATATCATGTTTTACAACAAATTCACAGAAAAAGCAGTTCAATAGATGGTAACATTATGTAGCAATTACTGTATTTATGAATTTAGCACCAAAACATCGCAATGTATTGAAACAGATGTGGATCCGGGCAGGAGGTAGACTGCATCGGATAATACGGAAGGTTGGATGTGGCTGGATAAGTGAGATTCTACTCTATGTTGTTTTAAAGCATTGAATAGTTGCCTATATGTAAAGCCACCTTGAGTCCCCTTCTGAGGGTGAGAAAGGTGGGGTATAAACAGGGCAAATAAATAAACCCTGAAGGGCACAGGAGGACAAGAAGTTTCAGGCCATCCCTGGAGATTATTGAGATGTTTGTTTGGTTTGAAAGATTTCCTTGCTGTGATGGGCAAGAAAGAAGGAGAGAAAAGAAAAGAAAAGAAGGGGAAGAAAGGAAAGGAAAGGAAAGGAAAGGAAAGGAAAGGAAGGGGAAGAAGAAAGAAAGAAAGGAAAGAAAGAAAGAAGAAAGGAAGAAAAAGGAAGAAAAGAAAAAAGGAGAAGGAAGGAAGGAAAGGAAGGAAAGAAAGAAAGAAGAGAAAAAGAAAGAAAGAAAGAAAGAAAGGGAGGAAGGAAGGAAGAAGGAAGGAAGGAGGAGAGGAGAAGGAAGGAAGAGGAAGGAAGGAAGGAAGGAAGAAGGAAGGAAGGAAGAAAAGAAGGAAGGAAAGGAAGAGAAGGAAGGAAGGAAGGAAGGAAGGAAGAAGAAGGAAGGAAGGAAGGAAGAAGGAAGGAAGGAAGAAGGAAGGAAGAGGAAGGAAAGAAGGAGGAAAGAAAGAAAGAAAGAAAGAAAGAAAGAAAGACAGGAAGAAGGAAGGAAGGACTGAAAGGAAGGCAAGAATGAAAGGAAGGAAGGAAGGAAGGAAGGAAGGAAGGAAGGAAGGAAGGAAGGAAAGGGAAGGAAGGGAAGGAAAGAAGGAGGGAGAAAGAAAGAAAGAAAGACAGGAAGAAGGAAGGAAGGACTGAAAGGAAGGCAAGAATGAAAGGAAGGAAGGAAGGAAGGAAGGAAGGAAGGAAGGAAGGAAGGAAGGAAATGGAATGGAATGAACGAAGGAAGAAGGAAGGGAAGGGAAGGGAAGGGAAGGGAAGGGAAGGGAAGGGAAGGGAAGGGAAGGGAAGGGAAGGGAAGAAGGGAAGGAAGAAGGAAGGAAGGAAGGAAGGAAGGAAGGAAGGAAGAAGGAGGGAGGAAGAAAAAAGAAAGAAAGAAAGAAAGAAAAAGAAGAAGAAGAGAGGACAGAAGGAAAGAAAGGAAGGAAGGAAGGAAGGAAGGAAGGAAGAAGAAGGAAGGAAGGAGGAAGGAGGAAGGAAGGAAAGGAAGGAAGGAGGGAAGAGAAGAAGGAATGAAGGAAGGAAGGGGAAGGAAGAAGGAAGGAAGGAGGAAGGAAGGAAGAAGGAAGGGAAGAAGGAAGAAGGAAGAAGGAAGAAGGAAGAGGAAGAAGAAAGAAAGAAAGAAAGAAAGAAAGAAAGAAAGAAAGAAAGAAAGAAAGAATTTTCTGCCCCTGGTGTGTTCTCTCCTCTCCTTCCCCTCTTTAGCGCTGCCCAACAATCGGGTGCTTGTGTTGCAGAGGAGAGAGAGAAATTGAGAAATGGAGAAAGAGAGAGAGGGAGAGAGGGAGCGAGGAAAGCCGCAGGGCCGCCTTTTGGCTCCGTGGCGGGCGACGTCATGGATTCCTGAGCGTGGAAGTTTGCAGGAAAGCCCTCCGCCGAGGCGATGGAGCCGGTCCAAGGGTTTCCATGGCGCCGGGCATAAACAGGAGGAAACAGTGAGGGAATCCCGTTATTTTACAGCATTCAACGACTATAAACACTCCGCGCCGGGAAGGAAGTGGCCTTTCCCTCTCGGGGAACTCGGAGCGCGGCGGAGCAGAAGGAGCCCCACGCGAGAAAGAGACCGCGGGTGGAAGGAAGGAAAGAAAGAAAGAAAGAAAGAAAGAAAGAAGGAAGGAAAGAAGGAAGGAAAGAAGGAAGGAAGGAAAGAAGGAAGGGGGCGACGATGCCCGAAAGAAGACTCCTCTGTAGATAGAGAGGGAAGGCAGCCTTTCCTCCCCTCTTGACCATAATAGCTCTGTTTATATTTAACCATATATTATTTTATCAATATCCATATATACCCAAATGCAGCGAGAACCCGCGTGCCGGCTGGTACACTTTCACCACATCATGAGATCTATGGATCAAGGTAGAGTCCTTGCGATTTATTTTATTCCTTCGCGCGTGTCTTCCTTTGTCAATGTCCTATCCCCCGCCCCCCGCCCCCAGCCCACGTCTCCCTGATGCCCACCAGCCTGGCATAGGTGCTTTGCTTTGCCAGGATAATATCTCCCGTCTCGCTCTTTCTCGCTCTCTTCAGCCGCTTTTCTCTCTTGCTTTGGATGCTTCTCTTTCGGGAAAGGCTTGTGCCCGCAATGGCACTAAAGCCATGCCATCTCCTCCTTCCCTTCCGAGTCAATAAACTAGGCTTCCCTACCCGACAAGGTCATCCCTACCTGGGGTTTACTGAGACTGATAAAGGCTCCTCCCTAAACTACAAACGCCATAATTCTGCAGGAGGCAGAAACCGGATTTTAAGCGGATTCATTCTCTAGTGTGATGAGGAGAGCGTTTTCTCCCACTTGGAAGAGAGGGATGACCGAAGAAGACAGTCGGAAAGAAGGGATTCCCTGGCGCCTCTCTTCCTGAGACTTGTTGTGTCTTGTCTATGTCGATGTGTGTACATCTATATCTATATATTTTTAGAATGGGTGACTTCAGATCCTCCTCCTCCTCCTCCACAGGGTTCCCCTCCTCCTCCCAGCCAGGCGTTGCCCCAAAGAGTGCCAAGTTCTTGCCTGGCGGTCCCGAGCCCGTCTGCATTGACTCCCCAATTGCCACTTACTTCTTCGGATGCCTGCTTCGGCACTGTAGAATGAATGCAGCTCGAAACCACTTGAACTGCCTATGGCTCGATGCTGTGAGATCCTAGGAGTTGTAGCTTGGCGATGTGCCAGGGAGAAAACCTTGGAAAACTACAACTCGCAGGATTCGAGATTATTGAGCCACGGAAATTATAGTGGTCTCAAACCGCATTCTTTCTACCCTCAGATCTAATAGGGAATAAATTCTCCCATTCCATGATAACAGAGGTGCTCATTCCCACGTGTAATAACACGTGTCCAGATGTATTATTATTATTATTTATAATCCTTGGTCTGATTCGAAGCAGGATCCCCGAAGGAGTTCCTATTTAACCCCTTTAGATGCCAAGGCTCAATGCTATGGAATCCTGGGAGTTATAGTTTGGCGAGGTGTCAGGGAGAAGACCTTGGAAAACTACAACTCGCAGGATTCGAGATTATTGAGCCACGGGAATAATAGTGGTCTCAAACCGCATTCTTTCTACCCTCAGATCTAATAGGGAATAAATTCTCCCATTCCATAACAGCGGTGCTCATTCCCACGTGTAATAACACATGTCCAGGTTTATTATTATTATTATTATTATTATTATTATTATTATTATTATTACCACCACCCTTGGTCTGATTCGAAGCAGGACCCCCGTAGGAGTCCCTATTTAATCCCTTTAGAATGAATGCCCTTTGATGCCAGGGCTCAATGCTATGGAATCCTGGGAGTTATAGTTTGGCAAAGTGCCAGGGAGAAGACCTTGGAAAACTACAACTCGCAGGATTCGAGATTATTGAGCCACGGGAATAATAGTGGTCTCAAACTCTATTCTTTCTACCCTCAGATTTAATAGGGAATAAACTCTCCCATTCCATAATAACACGTGCCCAGGCTTATTATTTTTATGATTTTTATATTATTATTATTATTATTATTATTATTATTATTATTATTATTATTATTATTATTATTATTATCCCTTGGACTGATTCGAAGCAGGCCCCCGTAGGAGTCCCTATTTAACCCCTTAGAATGAATGCCCTTTGTTGCCAGGGCTTAATGCGATGGAATCCTGAAATTTATAGTTTTACAAAGGCTTTTCTGCCCAAGAGGGCTGGGGCCCCCACTAAACTACAACTCCATAGCAGGGAGGCATGGCGGTGTCAAGCAGGATTTATCCTACAGTGAAAACGCACCCCAATACTTTCACATGGTGCTGTCCTTTGGCAAGTTGACAAGTTGACAATCCTTTGGATTTGGCAAAGGGTGGTCCAAAGAAAGCCTCAGCACCCAGTGTATTGCATAGCTAATAAGATTTCACTTCACATCCTCATAGCAAGAATGAATTGGATCATCAAATAGATACAACAGATCCGCCTTTGGGGTTAGAAAGGGTGTTGTGCCCCCCTTGTTGGCTCTGAGGAGTAGGGCTCTAGAGAGGGAGAGAGAGGCAGCGGCAGAGTTGGCACGGTCGGGAAGAAAGGCAAAGGTTTCCAAGGGGAAAGAAAGGCGGCTTCGCGGTTTGCCTGCATCGCTTCCCCGGCTTCGGAGAGAGAGGGGGGGGGGGGGGGGTTAATAGGATCGCCGTGAGGCGGAGTCTGAAAGGATCACGCAGGAGAGGAGGAAAGGAAGAGGCGTCCCACGGCGCTGCCCGGCTCCCACGTCCCGTGGCGGCCGATTCCGGGTTGCAGTCCGAACCGTGGGAACCGGACAGCGCCGTGGGACGCCTCTCACTTTCCTCTTGCTTCTTCTCCAGTTTGGAGACCCTGAGATTTTTTTTTTCCGTGCCAGGAGAGTCTTATTATAGAATCATAGAATCAAAGATTGGAAGAGACCTCATGGGCCCTCCAGTCCAACCCCCTGCCAAGAAGCAGGAATATTGCATTCAAAGCACCCCCGACAGATGGCCATCCAGCCTCTGTTTAAAAGCTTCCAAAGAAGGAGCCTCCACCACACTCCGGGGCAGAGAGTTCCACTGCTGAACGGCTCTCACAGTCAGGAAGTTCTTCCTCATGTTCAGATGGAATCTCCTCTCTTGTAGTTTGAAGCCATTGTTCCGCGTCCTAGTCTCCAGGGAAGCAGAAAACAAGCTTGCTCCCTCCTCCCTGTGGCTTCCTCTCACATATTTATACATGGCTATCATATCTCCTCTCAGCCTTCTCTTCTTCAGGCTAAAGTCTTGAGAAACTATAAGTCGCTTCTGGTATGAGAGAACTGGCCGTCTGCAGGGAAGGGACGTTGCCCAGGAGACGCCCTGATGTTTTACCATCCTGTGGGAGGCTTCTCTTATGTCCCCATATGAGAAGCTGGAGCTGACAGAGGGGAGCTTACCCCGCTCTCCAGATTCAAACTACCGACCTTTTGGTCAGTAGTCCTGCCAGCACAGGGGTTTGACCCATTGCACCATCTGGGGCTTCTGGTCCGGAGATAAATAGTCCCCCATACATTATATGGGTCACTGGTGGTGCAGCGGGTTAAACTGCTGAGCTGCAGAATTTGCTGACCAAAATGTTGATATTTTGAATCTTAGGAGCGGGTTGAGCTCCGGCTGTTAGCCCCAGCTTCTGCCAACCTAACAGTTCGGAAACATGCAAATGTGAGTAGATCCAAAGGTGCCACTTTCACAGGAAAGTAACAGCGCTCCATGCAGTCATGCCAGCCACATGGCCTTGGAGGGGTCTATGGACAACACCAGCTCTTCGGCTTAGAAATGGAGATGACTACCACCCTCCAGAGTCAGACACAAGTAGACTTAATTCAAGGGAAAACCTTTACTTTTTTACACACTATATGTGGGTAGCAGAGACAGTGTCACCTTTGCCTTCAGTGGATCAATGTACACAAACTTTCTTTCACGCGTAATATTATTATTAATTGTACATAATTACCTTCAGGCTATATGTATACTATGAAACATAAATAGATGGCATTAAAAGTATTTATTTATTTATTTATTTATTTACAACATTTATATGCCGCCCTTCTCACCCCAAAGAGGACTCAGAGCGGCTTATAAGATATATATACATACATACAATATATTATATTATTAGCATAGTACAATATCAGTATTATAAATTACTATATTTTACTATACCATTATATTGTAATATTATTAGTAATATTACATGTAATATAAAATATATAATTATTATATTGTATTATTATTGTTAGTATTATATTATATAGTATTATATATTATATAGTATTATAAAAGTAGACCCAAGGATGAATGGGCACCTGAAGTGTGGTTTGGGATTGATTTAATATGGTGTTGTTGAATGCTTTCAAGTCATTTTGGACTCTGTAGTGGTCCTAAGGCCAACCTATAATGGGGGTTTCTTGGTAGAATTTGTCAGGGCCCTTCCACACAGGCCTATATCCCAGAATATCAAGGCAAGAAAAGCCCACAATATCTGCTTTGAGCTGGGTTATCTGAGTCCACACTCAGATAATGTGGGATTTTCTGCCTTGATATTCTGGGATATAGGGCAGTGTGAAAGGGCCCTCAAAAGGTTTTGCCCTTGCTTTTGCTGGTGCTGAGAAAGTGTGACTTGCTCAAGGCCATCCAGTAGAGATTCAAACCTAAGTCCTCAGAGTCCCAATCCAAACTATTCAATCATGCCACATTCAAGGTACATGAACCAAACCGAGGGACCTTCCACACAGAATATCAAGGCATAAAATCCCATAATATCTGCTTTAAACTGGGTTATCTGAGTCCACACTACCATATATCCCAGTTCAAAGCAGATAACGTGAGATTTTATTCAGCTGTGTGGAAGGGGCCTGAATGTATGTTTTTGGATGGAACGAGTGTGACAAAGTGTGCACAATGTGGTTTTGTTCATCCAGTTCTTATTAAACTTCATCATAAGGTCTACATATTGGACAAGGACTCTGGAAAACAAGGGTTTGAATCCCTGCTCAGCCATGGAAACCGAATCTTCGGCAGATCACACTCTCTCAACCTCGATGGAAGGCAATGGCAAAGAGATACAAAGTAGAAAGGTGAATCTGATCCTTCTAAAAACACTGCTTGGATCAATGTACTTCTGGGGACAACAACTCCCAGAATTTCCTGGGCTTACTGACTGGACGATTCTGGAAGTTGTAGTTCAAAAAGTTTCTCTGACCTCTGCTGAAAACACAAGGCAGTGGCACTATCCACACTGTTCTGCCCCTCCAAAGTGCAAAAATGGATTCACCTTTCCAAATATTGATCCCCCTTTCCTTCTCAAGAAGAGATAACCTATGGGCGATGTTCACACGAGTAGGCACAACGTAGCTGGG